TAAGAAACGTCTCTGGACTGTCATTTGTGGTGAATGGGTGAAAATTTCACATTTGAGCAAAGTGGAGATGATCATCCAGGTTTACTGAATGCACACTCAAAAGCCCAAAACTATTAATACTCTGCAACAGATTGCATGAGATTTGAAGGTGAATTTGTGAACATGGAGTAATTCTGTCGAATGCATTCTGATCAAAATCAGATCAAGACCACAAGTGATTTACCTTGGCCTCTAAAGTCCTCTTTCTCGCTTTCAATTCTGCGACGGCTTTGGTCACATCCACATCAGGAGCTCCTTCCTCCTTCATTTTGCGTACCAGGTCCCCCTGTGGAAAATAATTAGAGCAAACCCCTCAGACGGCTACAGGCGCCACTGGGCTCCAGTTTGGGCCCGTTTTACAAAGCTAAAGGCCGATTGTAGATGTGGAGTTTTGGCACCAGCCTCCTTTCTGCACTCCACCCTGTAGCTAACTCCTGTCTGCAGCTGCAGCAGCGGCTCAACGTGGCAGACAGCATATGATTGTCAGCTAGCAGCAGCTAGCTTCGTTAGCTGCTTATGCACTGACAGTTTGTATCAGGCGGTATATACACAAGTGTTTCATTGTTAAAACTGAATTGTACGGGGCCACTCTGTTACCTAATAGTGAATAAAAGCACATAGATCAGCTGTACCTGTTCTTTGACTGCCTGCCTCAAAGGGGCGAGAATCTCCTCAAAGTTGCCGTCCCCCATGGTTTGTCCTTCCGTGAGCTGCTGCCAGAGGCTCCTCTGCTTCTTACCGCACAGGCAGACCGACGCTGAAAACGGTCTTCTTCCGGGTGGATAGCGGAGTGACAGCCGGACGAAGCGGGCCGGGAAGAGCGGGCAGAGGGAGGGGATGTCGGTGGTCCTCAGCAGGGCTGATGCAGCGCTGCGGAGAAGAAGCATGGACCGGTGAACTGCAATCACAGGAGAATGATGAAATCTCTGGAAATAAGTAAACACCGCCTCCAGCCCGGGCTCGGCACTTTCGCTACAAATCACACCCGATGATTAGGAACCCATCTGCAGATTCGTTGAAAACTGTAATACTTTTTTTTAAAATTATTTCTACTAAAATTACAGGGAAAAAAAATCTAGTAAAAAATAAAATTCTTCGGGGTTCAAGTCCAAAATCGGTTGTGGAGAATATATTTGTTCAGGATCGCTTAAAAGTAACATGCATAACAATATCAGAAATATTTTGTAACAGGTGGCGCCACCAGGTGTCGCTCCCTCCACAGCCTGAGCTTCCATAGAAGGGAAGCTGGAGGGGTGGAGGCCAAGTGTCAATTTCCTGTGTGGGACCAGGTGTGTGTGTGTGTGTGTGTGTGTGTGTGTGTGTGTGTGTGTGTGTGTGTGTGTGTGTGTGTGTGTGTGTGTGTGTGTGTGTGTTGGGCCCATGCGTTCCTTTGTTCACTGCCTGTGGTAGGTTTGGAGGAAAGCTGTTTTTAAATCAACCCTCTTAAATAAGTATGTGCTGATGAACACCAGAACATCATTAATAGTGTGGCCCTGTATAAAATCACCACGTTGGCGCATACTTATTTAAGAGGATCGATTTATGCCTACCACAAACCTACCACAGCCAGCAAAAAGTGGAACGCGTGGGGCCAACACACACCTGGTCACACAGGAAATTGACACTTGGCTCTATAGAAGCTCAGGCTCTGGAGGGTGCGACACCTGTTACAATTTCATAAAAAAGAGGGCTAAGGCCACAAATTAAACTGAAACTTGTAAAATGAAATGAAAACTAAATAAAACGAGAACATAACGCAAAAAGAAATTTGTTAAAATACTTTCTTTTGTGCATTCTTTAGAGCTTTGAGCCAGTTTTGTTTTTATTTGCTGTTAGGGCTGGATAATAAATTAATACAAAATTTATATTGCTGTACACATGTGATCAATACAATAGATCTGTTTGAATATCTCGCACTGCATTTTGGGAGATGAAGGCAGAGGAAATGCTTCGGCTGCTCAACCTCTCACAGCAAGCTAACCGAGGTGAGTGGCATCAACTTAACTCACTCCCCCCTCAACCAACAACCTGATGAAACTTCTGCAGGTTCAGATTTGGCTAACATGCCTCAAACTGTTTAAAAATAAACAATAGCATCAAGTGAAAACTGGATAAAACAAGAAAGCTAATTTCATCTATTTAAAACAAACAAAAAAAACAATCGCTAATTATTGATATCGCCAATTATCGATATCAACTGATATCAATTCATATCGATAATGGCCAGATAAAACATTCTATCCATCTTTGGGCGACTAACAAAGGTCCTTCAGAAGATCTGATCAAATACACCAGATGACTTTAAAAGGCTTCAGGGACCTGTGGCTGTTTGGAGGATGAATTTTAATGATCAAGAGACAACTGAAAACTCTTCTATTGTACAATCAATGCCAATATACTCCCTTTTTTTTCTAAGATTATATTTTAGCACTACTGTCACAAGACAGCAAATGAACAGAGAAAGAAGGGGGGAAATCATGCAAGCAAGGACCTCTGGGTCAGGAATCGAACCCATGACTACTCCCCATTTATACTTTTTATCATATGTTTGTCTTACTAAGCTTTATGGATAGTTTTTTTTTCTGCGAAAATTATGTTTGTGATATAGTCAGATGTTTGTTTTGATTCCCAGGTTATTTTGAAAGCATGTTGTTGTGTAGAATATGCAGTAATTGCTTTCAGTCACTAGAGGGCACTGAAAACAAGCTCTGCTCAGGCTCACAGATCTGTAATAACAGCCTTTCCTTTCAGCGCTGCTGCATCTGAGGTGAAAGTTGAGCTCATTCATTGCAATTTCAGCTGAAATTTGGAGTGAAGTAGGAATACTGAAGATTACTGGATCAAACAGACACATTTAACTGGTTCAAATCCCAGACTCAAACTTGAAATGTACAATGCCTTTCTTCTACTGTCTTCTCGAGTTACCTGATAAGTATATCGATTCTACCTGTTTGTAATTTGATCTTTTCTGAATTTTGTACTTTTAAAAACCACCATTGTGTTCTGTTTGTCGGTCTGTCACATCAAATCACTGTGAAACACACATTTAGAGGTTTTTATTGTAACAAACAAAATGAGAAAAAGTTCAAAATACTTGAAATCTTTCCAAGGGGTTGTCAGTTATCATTTCCAGTACAAGTAATACAATGACTGAAAATAATTTTTACATTTGAACAAATGTAAACCGACTCTCTACGTTGTAATTCTAGTAATAGTAGCTCTTTACTTACTACTGATCACAATAAAATATATGAATACCATCAGCGGTGAAAATGCCATGTGTTTAGGTGATTATAAAAGCTCAAACATTTCATTCCTTATTTATTGGATCTGCAACCTACATCATGCAGTGAAGTTTTGTATGTCATCAGATTTCAATTATCTGTCCAGTCTGGGCAGACTCAGTAACCTGAGATGGATTGAACATGATTGTGCAAAGTAGCTGTGAGAGCTGTGTCGTGGTGTCAGTTGTACACATTCGCCGTTGTGGGCCACCAGGACACGGCCCCTGACCCACATTGAGAGCAACGTGTCGGCAAGGAGATTACACACTAATTAGGAGCAGCATCAGTAGATGACAGCCCGCACCTACCACTGTTTCCCTTCTGTCCGTACGCCATCATCAGACACTCATTTCCCAGGTGGGGTCCTTTAGGGGCAATGTGTTCCTGGGCTCCATTAAAGGGAACAGCTGATGTGACTAGGGAAGGTGAGTGAATGCGTCACCACTGGCAGTGGACCAGAAAACCACTTTATCTCCCCTGCTGTTGTTCTACAGCCCATTGAGGTTGAAGCTGTACGAGTCCTGCTTGTTTCATAGGGGATTAACAGGGTAAAGGTCTTAACATTGATTAACACTAACGTTGTACACTAATTTAGAAATGAAAAGACATGTTAGGAGGCTCTTTAATTTGAAACAATATGGAAGCAAAAAACCAACGTCTAAAGAAATGCCAGTGATCAAAATTTATGGCTGCGCACACAAATCAAAAATCAAGTCTAGCATTCAAAATAAAACAGTATTTAAGATCTTATTTGAGGTCCAAGATAATGTGTGAGAAAAACTTCTGTTTCTTTTAAGCCATACGCAACAAGACACACACCTTTCTTTAGATGATGTTTTATTTCTTAAGACCTTTTAGCCTAATGTTGTCGGACAGGTTCAGATGGTTGTATGCGTGCATTTTTTCAAAATGTTGCTTAAAATTCATTTGTGCTCATTTATAGAGCGGTTGAAGGAGAAAACACTATTTGGAGATTGTCCTGTTTGGTTATGCACTGTAATGTGGAATCCCTCACACACCATGGTTAAACATCTACAGTTTCAAAACTTTTTGAGACTCCAACTGGTTTTATTTCTGGATTCGCTTCTCCAATAATCGTGCCCATCAAATCTGACCACCCTGTAACTGCTGAAGAAACTTAATTGCTGATTGTATTTAGTTAAACTGCAAACAGAACTTATACCACTGTTACAAAAGGACGAGTTTTGTTGGGTATTTGTAATTCCTGTATGAGTAATTAGGTGAACTCTGAAGGCAGCTGATCACAATATATTCTGCTAAAAGGCAGCAAATACAAATGCACGCCACACTTTTCAGGTTTACATTTGTAAAGAAAAAAAAAACACCTTGAAAACCAAGTATAATTTCCCTCTTCACAATTATACACTACTTTGCGTTGGCCTTTCACTTGCAGAAAAGCTCCAGAAGACATTGAAGCTTCATTTTTGTGACTTGAAATGTTTGAGAAACTTCAGTGGTTATGGATACTTGTTATGTTTGGCACTGGAAGTATCCAAACATTATCTTTAAATATAAACGAATTAAAGTATTTCTCATCTCATTTTTTTAAGTCAGAAAAATGTCACATAAAAAAAAAAGAGAGAGAGAGAGAGAGAGAGAGAGAGGGAGTCGGACAAACAGGCTTGTTATTCGTCATACACTTCACTGTATCGCAGCCACGCTGGAGGCGCGTTGATGTGGCGCGCAAGCCTGTAGCAGGCAGAAGGACGGACGGTCGCCATCTCTGGGTAAACACTGTAACCATATTACGCAGTTGATGTTGTAGTGCGTGGACTGAAGCCGGAACGCACAGCTTCTACAGCAGCAGCAGCTACAGCCGCGGCAGAAGGCGGGGGCTACGCTGCCCGCTGCAGCAGCGACCACAGAGGACACATACGGCGGCTTCAGAGCAGGACTGACGCTTTTGTTTGTCTCTCGCACGTCGGAGCTGTCACTTGACGTCTGAAAGCGATTCTTGGTGCGCTTTCATCTCCCCGAACTGTTTTTTTTTTTCTTTCCTCCCCCTCCAGTGTTTTTTGAGCGGACGGGACTTGCACGGTTCCAGTGAAATGGGATTTTAATGGTGCACGTAGCAGCAGCAGCAGCAGCCTGTGCACAGCCGGGGGACCGTAGCTGGAGCAGCGCGCCCGGTGATGATCGCCGAAGAATAAAGCGGTGCAGCCGAAGGGGCGCAACATCTCGTTTCCATGGACAACACGTCCATAATAACACAGGTTGCAAATCCGAAAGAGGAGGAGAGCATCTCATCGAGTCAAGATAAAGGTAAGCCCGTGCAGAAATGTCCATTGACTCAACGTGTTCTTTTATTTTGGTGTTTGTTTGTTTTTATGGCGTTTGGTTATTTATTTCTGGATTCTGCCGTCTGCGCGGCGACAGTCTGTGCAGATCTGTCGCCCTCCGTGCAAAGAGGAATCTCCAGGACCGCAATAGCAAAACAGGGTCGACGTAAAATCCTCCATTGTTTGGGTGAAGCAGGGAAACATTACCCACCAAAACCAGCCCGTTCACCCCCGATTCGGCTGGGAGCGCGCTGCAACTTTCTTATGGCTTCATTTCGTTGCCACCACGCACACGTTTAATATGAACTCAATTAAATCATGTGTATTTTCCACCCCCTCCTCAAGTGTGAGGGTTTACTACAGGGGGGCGGGTACAGCATCACCTTCTCCTTTACACTGCTCACAAATACATGCCAGCATCAACAGGAGTGCAGATCTGCCACTACTACTGGGAAACTAACGCAATGAATTGATCGAAATTCACGGGAACATATTGTGCTATGCTGCGACCAGGGGCGCCCCTAGAAACTTTTCTAAGGGGTGGCCAGATGGTGACCGCTGATAATCGTGGGGCAGCATCGCAAAAGTCACAACAGATGTTATTTATTTATTTATTTATTTATTTATTTGTTTTTTTTAAAAATTAAATAAATAAACAAACTGGAGCTAAATGTGTGCAAATAGGCAAGAGTGGCAAACCATTAAAAGCTAAACAGATATTACAGTTAAGTCATTAAACATAAATAAGATAAATTGTGCAGCAAGCTGAAATACATCAAGAACACCAATAGAGAAATAAATGAATAAGGCAGTGCATGTTCAAATATTTACCAACTGCTGCTGCTGCTGCAAAAAACAACATAAGCATCATCAGTTCTCTTTTAATATACTCCATGAGGAACAGTCGCTGTACAAACGTCAACCTCCACCTGCATAAAAACAACAGCTGAGCAGCTTCTGTGCAGATCACAGAAGCTGAGAGACAGCACTTTTTTTTCTATTTTTGTGCAACAATTGTTGTAAAGAGACTAAAGGCAGATCTTCCTTGTTAGTCAGGGGGTTTCATCAACATTTGAAGTGCATTTATTAGCCAATGGTCATGACAAAACAGTTTTCGAGTAACACAGGTTGACTTAGTGGCTGACATTCCCTCATTAGCACCCATCTCAGCGAGCCACAGGGTGCTGGGAGGCCAGAGGGACCACAGTGTCCTGCTACACTCACTGCTCTCCTTGGAGAAAAAGCTCACCTTTTGGTATCATCAGAATTTTGTGGCCAATTTGAGATAATGGTTTATGCAGCGTTTGTCCTGTGGAGGATGATCTTTGGAGTATTCTGTTTTAGATTAAAAAAAAAACTGTAAAAATATACGAGAAGATTTAAGAGCGCACACAGACACACCACATGCGTATACACATATATATTTATGTGTGTATGTACACACATCACTTACTTCACACAGAAGGATGTTATAACACTTTTATTTCTGCTAATTATATCAGCATATCACGTTGAAGATAATTTAAGATTAGAATATTACATCAGACCAATAATATCTGGGTTGTACTAACAATGTTCTCGCTAAAAAGTGCTGCTGTTTACCTGGTAGTGCTGAGATAAGATGTGTTCACTGACTGGAAAAATGAGGATCTTGGGTCTTTTGACCAGTTGGTCAAAGAAAAACACTTTTCACACGTTGAATCAAAATCCATGTTTATGGATTGTTGTACTTGAGTTCATACATTTTGAACTAAATTTAATTAGGCAAAGATATTTGTGTAATCTTTATTCTATTCACAAAATGTTTGTTTATTTAGAACGCCAAAAGTCTTGATTACCTCGCCATCCCATTGTTTCCAATTTTCTTCTCCAAGGAGCTCAATGTAATTAATGAAATTTCCACTTAAAACAATTGCCAACAAAGAAATGTAAAATGTTTTTTTTTCTTTTCTGTCTTATTTTAATCTCTAATTCAGAATTCCCATGCTTTGTTCAGAGCATTTGCTCGTCTTGAACTGTGAATCCCAGGGCGCATGTGAAATCTGATAATTAATCTGGAGGCATCAAATGCGGGTTCAGCCGCTGACCAGAGACGACTTAAAACACTAACACACACACCTTCTCGAATGACTGCTATTTAGATTTACATTAACAGCTTAATTCATAATCACTTTCACTCATGTTGCTGTGAAGAGCAAAATGAAAGCCAATTACAAAGATGTGTTTAAAGTTCAGTAATACTAACACCATTAGCAAAAAAAAAACACAGTAAAACAAAGAAAGATAAAAAAGAGAACAATATTAAATACCCTCAAATGTAAAAGAAAAACAACAAATACATTCATGACAGATATGAGTCTTTCATTTTGACTAAAAATTTAATAAACACTGGTTACTTAATTACTTACAGTACATACAGGTTAATATTGAAAGGAAACTGTTGGTGTATGGCATTAAAGCACACCCCAATCTTAAGCTAAGTTCAACTAGAAACAGGCATATTTGTTTTTATGTCAACTTTAAGACATTGTTGACTCATGTAATTCCTGGCCTTTAGCCAGTACAGTCATACCTGGTTTTAACACACACTACCTAATACTTAACACTATAATTAAAGTGTTCACCAGGGAATGGTGTTATGTAATAACTGGTTGTGTTATGGTACTACGTAATTATACCCAAACATTCAGATGTGGGCCTTTTAATTTGGCGTGTGCATCCCGAACGAACACAGCTTTTTTTTTTTTTTTTTTTAAAACCATAATACATACCTTGTGGCCGAGCAATGTCGTCATTGCCCAATGAGCAAGCTTAATGTGCATGCTCTCCATTTTAATACTTTGTTTGCGAATTGTTACGGTAGTATTACAGTGCCATATACATTTGGTGAAAATAAATGTTTTCATTCACCAAAACAAATGCTTTCATTTCACAAATCGATGCCATATTTGTGAAGAAATAAAAACAAACAGATTTTTTTGATTTGGCAAATTAAAATCATTCTGCAATTGTTTTGGAAGGTGATCTCCTTTGTGGTTTGCCCACTTGTATGCATGAAATGTAGTAGTCCAACACTGGATATGTTGTACAACAGGTCATTCTGTAAACTCATTCAGAACATACTCACTATGATAACCGCTGATTTAAAGTAATTTGACTATTTTCTGCACATCATTCTATCTAATTAAATGTGGTTTCATGACTTGGATAATCAATATCTGTCAACAGGGGTTGATGATCAGATGTGTTGATTTTCATCTTTTTCAGTAATTAATATACATTTATAAATACGTTGTAAGTGACATTTGAGCATTTTTTAAAAATGTCTATTTGTTTCTCATGATTCATGAAAGTACTAAACTGCAATAGTTTAACTGACTAAATTTCAACATGAAGGTAGGAAATGGGGGTACAAATTGGTAAAGGGGCAAACTGACCCATAGCCAAAATATTTACATCGTCCCTCAAGCTTTTGTCAGCTTTTGATCCCCACAACTAGCTGAAAACAAACACACTCTCAGTCAGTCAGTATAACCGAGGGGGGTGTAGCCAGGGGGCTTCATGGATGGAGTCCCTGCCCTTCACTTCCCGGCTCTGCCAAAGCTGACGGCAAACAGCACTCGTTCTGCAGGTTCCCTCTGTGACCTGCCTGCCGTGAGGCCGAAAAATGAATACACGCTTTCACATGTTGAATATTTCAGAGCATTATATGGCTATTTTTGCTCGACTAATTTTGTGCTACTCACTGGAAGAAGTCATGCCATATAAGACCTATGTTTGAGTTTCTTCTAAACATTTCATTAGGTGCAGATTCACCTTTTCTGTTAAACAGATTTACTTAATCACAAGTGCTTGTATGGAGCTTGTGGTGGGGCAGTACTTCTCTTTTCAATGTGCTCACATTTCAAAGATAGATTTCTATCTATGGTCACTGAATTAGGTAGCCACAGTTTTCATAGTATGATGCAATGAGATGTAATTGCTGGACTAACAAAAAGGGGAGGGGAGAGTCATGAGGCGGCTGGCCGAACTCTCACTTAGTAATTCGCTCTGGCTTTTCCTAATCTAACAGTCAAAGCAGGTGTCAATGGACAAGCTATTTACCTTAATCAGATCAGATTAAATCTGACTTTAGCTCTTCACGTTTTAAGGTGTGATATCTGTCAGGCAGGCCACACAGCAATTTTGAAAGCAGATGAATGGAGCCATTGCACATCGATTTATTTATTGATCATCTTTTTGAATTTTCCTTAATATTTGTTGCTTATCAGAGAAGATTAAGTCTAATCTGGAGTTTCATGAACTGAGAGCTTCTTTCACACCGTTGTGGCTATTTGCTATTTGTGAGTTTACTCAGGAATCCTTAGTAAATACACTTAAAAAAAACATTATCCTGAAAATAAAAGCAAAAGCAAATGACTTTCTGAATGGGAATAGTGTAAATTATCTTAAACTGAAATGGTCATTTTTACCCTGGGGTTACAACTATAGACACAGGGTGATATTTTAAATACCAAACAGAATAGAAATGAGACGTTTGCATGGTTAAAAGACATATCATTGTTTGATATAAAACTGAAGTAAACATCTTCTGTTTTACTGTTTTTAAACAATTTGGGAAAACTTGTATAGCTCAATGGCTTTCCATGTTTTTGTTAGCTTACTTCACAAAATTTTAATTCAGTGGAAGCATGCCTGTGGATAGATTTTAAGGCAAAACATTGTCTTCCTTGTGTGAAAATGGAATACTGAAAAAAATGATCAGTTAGGAAAAAATCAATCAATATAGAAGATAACTGTCAACCTCCACATGTCTGGTTCCTCTATTCGCATTCCCCGGAGAAACAAGGAAAGAAAAACACTGAAGCTGTAATTATATATTAATCTTGAAAAAGCCTCTGATTTCATGCGCAATTGGTTTTTGAGGTTATTCCTGGAACCCGATGCTGCACATTACTAAAGTGTTTATGATGAGGGGACCAC